AAGCAAAAGTCTGTGAGAGCCTAGGGTCAAGGAAAACTAAATGTAAGTGTGTTTGATAACAACTGAGACCAACAAACAAAGATAATGGTTAAAAAATTCCTTATTAAATGGTACCAGCAGATGTGTTTGGACAGTAATCTGCAAAGCCTTAACCCAAAGTGTAAACAAAAAGTATATAATTAATATTTTTGGATAATGCTGGGGGACATAAAGCATGAGAAGTGGAAAAGAAAAAAAGAAAGGCAGTGGGAGGAAAAGCAGCAGCAGGGAAAAGCAGTTAAAAAGTGAAGAAAACACATGGTGGGCCAGAAGTACTCATCTGAAAATGCCTCTGGTTCCCAACCCTGTCCCAGACTTCTGAACAATGGCTGCCACCTGACCGAATCTCATTTCTTTTGTCTTTTTTTTTTCTTTTTCCTGAGATGGAGTTGTTGCCCAGGTTGGAGTGCTGTGGTACAATCTTGGCTCACTGCAACCTCAGCCTTCCTGGTTCAAGCAATTCTCCTGCCTCAGGCCTCTGAGTAGCTGGGATTACAGGCGTACACCACCACACCTGGCTAATTTTCTGTATTTTTAGTAGAGATGGGGTTTCATCATGTTGGCCAGGTTGGTCTCAAACTCCTACCTCAGGTGATCCACATGGATAAAACCCTCCCAAAGTGCTGGGATTGTAGGCTGGAGCCACTGTGCCTGGCCCAAACTTCATTTTTTAAGCCTACAACTTGTTTCAGGCCTTCAGTAAATATTCAACTATCAGCCTGCAAATAAGCACTGACCTCTATAGTTTGGGCTTATATGAAATAAGGGTGAGACTAAAGAAGAAATTACCAAGCTATCCCACTGATGCCCCTAAAAAGAGTAAGAAAAGCGCTCAAACATAGTTTCTCCTTTTAATAGCCTTTTTGTTTCACAACCATGCGGCTCTGCTGTGGATGGGAGGTCTGTGTGTGCTAGAGTATGTGCTGAGAAAATCCCATTGGACTGTTAAATTTTACTAACACACAATATCATAATTATCCTAGATGGTAAATCTGTAGGGTTGAAATCTGGTGATAAGATCTCTGGTGTGGCTGCTTTCAGGATCAAACTGCAGAGCAACAGAACTTGTTCTCAAGGCCTGCAGAGTCTAAACATAAACTTGTTCTGTTGAAGACGTTTATCTTGCGTATTGAACTGTTAATCATAAATATGGCCAAAATTCAAGGCCCATGTCTAACAAATTTCACAGCACTAATGAAGGGACAAAATGTTTGAGAACCCCTGAGAAGTCTAGTATGCCTGACGACGTTGAGAAAACTAGATTTCTGTAAAAGAAGAGCATGTGTGTACCTACAACGTATGTTTTAAAGGTAAAAGAAAAGGTCGGTACTTTTTAGAAAAGTGAAGACCAGTTATTAAATATTTTACTGTCTACCTATTGTCATATATTCAGGCTCTGTAAGCGCAGGTTTGAGAAATCATTTTCTAACTTGCTATAAATGTCAGAGACTGGGATTATCCAGGGCTGTCCTTCTTTAAGGTTGGAAGTTAACACAGGAGCCCTCCCAAACTCGTCTGGATTGTGTTTCTTCAGGAAGAAGGCTGGCATAGAATCTTTATAAGATGTTATTTCGTTAAAATAAAACCTCTGCAGTGGTATCTGCATTTCAACCACAGAAATTTCACTGTAGCTAGTGGTATAATTTAAAACTCTAAAAGCGAAATTAAGCAGATATTTTTAGCTAAGGTGCCACTATCATCACTCCATGGATCCCATTGTATTTGGAGCAGCTTAACCTAAGTAAGCCATTTCTTCTCCTTTCTTTTTGAGACGGAGTCTCGCTCAGTCACCAGGCTGGAGTGCAGTGGTGCCATCTTGGCTCAATGTAATCTTGGCCTCCCAGGTTCAAGCAATTCTCCTGCCTCAGCCTCCTGAATAGCTGGGATTATAGACACCTGCCATCATGCCCAGCTAATTTTGGTATTTTTAGTAGAGATGGAGTTTTGCCATGTTGGCCAGGATGGTCTTGATCTCTTGACCTTGTGATCCACCCTCCTCAGCCTCCCAAAGTGCTGGGATTACAGGTGTAAGCCACCACACCCAGTCTAAGTAAGCCCTGTCTAACATAATGAAATGCACTTTTTTCCACAGTTACAGAAGCTAAATCTTAAGTGAGTGCTCTCTGACTTTTATGTGAATTTCAGTGAGGAACGTTTGGTCATGGCTTTTAAAAATTTTAGTTCCTTTGATTACCTTATTATTTTATAGTCCTTTCAAGAGAAAATTGAGCTAGCAGTGTTTTCTTCCTCCAGGGCGAATTGTTGCTATTTCTTGGCTCATCTCATAAAGACCTAGCACGGTCCCCAACACAGTGTCATAGAATTTGCTCATCTGTGACCAGGTGTCTCCAATTCTGTTTCACAGTAGCTGAAACTAAAAACTTCACTTTTTTCCTCAACATCTGCTCCATACTGTTTTTTTCATGGTTATTATCGTAGTAAAAAAATTCTTCAATGGTATATTAGATAAAACAAAAAAAGCACAAGGGACAAATGAAAAAAATAGATAAGTTGGACTCTATTAAAAACTTCTGTGCTGCAAAGGATACCACCAAGAAAGTGAAAGAAAAGAATGGGGGAGATTATTTGCGAATTATATATCTGACAGGGAACCTGTATCTAGAATAAATAAATTCTACACCTCGATAATTTAAGAAACATTTTTTTTTTAAATTTAAAATGGGCAAAAGGCTGGGCTTGGTTGCTCACGCCTGTAATCCCAACACTTTGGGAAGCTGAGGCAGGTGAATCACTTGAGGTCAGGAGTTTGAGACCAGCTTGGCCAACATGGTGAAACCCATCTCTATTAAAAATACAAAAATCATCTGGGCATGGCAGTGGGGGCCTGTGGTCCCAGCTACTCAGGAGACTGAGGCAGTAGAATTGCTTGAACCCAGGAGGTGGAGGTTGCAGTCAGCTGAGATCGTGTCACTGCACTCCGGTCTGGGCAACAATGTGAGACTATGTCTCAAAAAATAAATAAACAAACAAATAAATAAATATAAATGGGCAAAAGCTCTGAATAAATATTTCCCCAAAGAAGATATCAGAATGGTCAATAATCACATGAAAAGATGCTCAACATCATTAATCACTGAGTAAAAGAAAATCAAAACCACCATGACACCGGGTACAGTGGCTCACTCCTGGAATCCCAGCACTTTGGGAGGCCAACGTGGGCAGATCTTCAAAGCTCAGGAGTTTGAGGCCAGCCGACCAACATGGAGAAACCCTGTATCTACTAAAAATACTAAAAATACAAAAATCAGCTGGACATAGTGGCACATGCCTGTAGTCCTAGTTACTCAGGAGGCTGAGGCAGGAGAATTGCTTGAACCTGGCAGACGGAGGTTGTGGTGAGCTGAGATTGAGCCATTATACTCCAGCCTGGGCAACAAGAGCAAAACTCTTGTCTCAAAAACAAACAAACAAACAAACAAACAAACAAACCCCCCACCATGACATACTTCTTCATACTCACTAGGATGGTTATACTAAAAAAGACAACTAACAAGAATGTGGAGAAATTAGAACCCTCATACACTGCTGGTGGAAATGTAAAATGGTGCAACAGACTTGGAAAACATCTGGCAGTTTCTTACATGGCAAAAGATAGAGTTAACATATATGCCAGGAATTCCACTCCTACGCATATATGAAGAGAATTAAAAATATCTACACAAAACGAATGTTCATAGCAGCATTACTTATAACAGCCATAAGGCAGAAGCAAACCAAATGTTTATCAATTGAGGAATAAAGAAAATACAGAACAGTCGTACAATGCAATGTTATTCCACAATAAAAAAGAATTAAGTACTGATATATGCCACAGCATGAACCTCGAAAACATTATGCTAAGTGAAGAAGCCAGTCATGAAGGACTACATATTTAATGATTTCATTTATATGAAATTTCAGAAAAGGCAAATCTTTAAACAGAACATAAATGAGAAAGAAGTGACTGCTAATGGGTACAGAATTTCTTCTTGGGGTGATAATGTGACGGCTGCACTACAGTGAATATATTAAAAACCACTAGATTGTATACTTGAAGTAGATAAATATGGCATGTGAATTATATTTCAATAAACCTGTTATTTAAAAAATCCTTCCATGAAGCTGATCATAGATACAAGCCAGGGCAGGGTGAAGAACATATGAGCCACTGGGCGTGGTGGCTCACGGCCTGTAATCCCAGCACTCTGGGAGGCTGAGGCAGGTGGATCACCTAAAGATCATACTGGCTCGTATGTCTCACACGTTCTTTTTTTTTTTTTTTTTTTGGATGGAGTCTCGCTCTGTCGCCCAGGCTAAAGTGCACTGGAGCGATCTCGGCTCACTGCAATCTCCGTCTCGCGGCTTCAGGCAATTCTCCGGCCTCAGCCTTTCCAGTAGCTGGACCGCAGGCGCCTGCCACCATGCCCGGCTGATTTTACTAGAGTCCAGGTTTCAGCATGTTGGCCAGGCTGCTCTCGGGACTCCTGACTTCAGTGATCTGCCCACCTTGGTCTCCAAAAGTGCTGGAATTACAAGCGTGAGCCACCGTGCTCGGCCTAATTTTTAAAATCTTTCTTTTTAAAACCAATGCCATAAACTGTATGAAGTTTTTTAGTTTGACCCACCTGAGTTTTCCACAGCTACATCATCTTGAAATCAAATCTGCAAAGGACTAGGAAAATGCAAGCTTTATCTTCCGAGGTCAGAAATTATTTAGAAACCTCAGAACTCTCATCCTTTGGTTCTGGACAATTTACACTGAAGCGTGGGTACCAGTTATTCTTTTGGTTCACTGTCTCAGCTCTTTGGCAGAAACAATGTTATTACAGCGGATCTATTTTGATTTCACGAAGTGAAAAGTAGTCATTGGGGTCCCAATGGACTTCTAAACTCTCAGCAGAGTAGCCAATGACTCTACAAGCGTTGCTTATGTGGAGTGCTGACCTTTGCTAAGTACTTACGTAACCGGGTTTTCACGAGCACAGCAGAGCTCTGAGAAACGGACTCCCTGCTCTTTGGTGCCGAGGACGTGCGATTCGGGGGCAAACGCTCTGACGAAGACAGAACCACACAAGGGGCAGGCTGTGGGTCTGTTAGGTCTGAGGTCTTGGGGAGTCCTAACAGAAATTACGTTCTGGCAGTAGCGAGCAAAAACGCACGAGTCAGACCGGGCTGCTCCTCGCCTAAGCCACAGCAGCAGCGTCTGAACAGCGTCTCTGACCTTGTTGGAAGCTTCAGGACCGCCCTGCCTGTCTGCGCACGTGGCGGGGTGGGAACAGAGCAAAGGGGCACTCAGGGGAAACATCGGCTCCCGCACGCCGCTTACACTCCAGGGGTCGAAGTGAGTTCCAGGTTTGTTACTGCAAGTGGGCCGACCCCCAGAAGGACTAACAATTATAAGAATCGAAATAAACAGCTTCCAGTCTTCCAACACACTTTCCCTTTCCTCCTGCCCTAGCCCACTCGCGGCCCACTTCCCCGGCTCCGGCCCGCCCAGCTCGCTGCCTCGCCTCCTTCCCGCGCCCAGCCTTACGCTGAGAAGCTGACGAGACTCGGAAGTACGACTCCATCCGGGTGTTTTGTTGAAGAGGGCACAGGGCGTGCTTTTATGATGTCATCGGGGACGGGGCGAAGCGCCAACTCCGGAGGCTGGGACTTCCTGAAGAAGAGGGGGCGGAAGGAGTGGCGCGGAGACCCTTTCCACGCCCCTTGAAGATTCCATGCAGGAGGAGAGAGGAGTCTCAACTCTCAAGCTCCCGTTTGAGGAGAGATTGCTGAAATGGAACGCGTTAACTTCAAAGACTCAACTTTTAAAAGACTTGTTACTATTCTATCCTCTTGATCTGTTTTCCTCTTTTTTGGTAACCTTGAAAACTTTCCTATCTCCAATCCTTTCTCCCCCTTTGATCCTGCGCAAATAGTGAGGTCACGCAGTTGCGCAGTCGCAGTCGCACCGGGGCGGTGCCGGTGAGAGGCGGGTGACGCAGCGGCCGTCGCTGCCATTTTAAGTTGTTTGTTCTCGCTTCTTTTCTCAAACGCGACTCTGCCCCGGACCCGGGAGGCGCCCGAGGCCCTCGCCGCTTCTGCAGCCATCGGTGGGGGGGGGAACGAGGCGTTATCGCCGCGGACGCTCAGCAACCGCTTCGGCTTTTCCCCCCCTCCGGGTCTCCTCGACCTTTCCTGAGAGCCGGAATCCGATTGTAGGGGGAAGAAAGACTCAAGAGCAGATGCTTGAACTGAAATAACTTTATTTTGGGGGGTTTACTTCGCTGACCCTTAGCGCAGGGCTTCCTCTCCTTTCCCCCTCAGCCGCCAGTACCAATCCAGCTCCCCACCTTTCTCCTCGTTTTTCCTCTTTTTCTTTTTCTCTCCCTGTCGCCGCTGTCTCCGCGTCCTTCCCCTCCGTCGCCGCCCGGGGCGCCGAGCCAGACTATGGGTCCCAGGTGGGGGCTGAGCGGCGGCAGCAGCGCGGGCGGCCGGGTCACAGTGCGCACTGCAGCGGGGATGGCGGGGCTCAGTTGGCTGGTGGTTTTCTCTTGACATGGCTCCTGCCAGTGCTGCGAGCAGCGCCCCCGCCGCCGCCTCCTCTTTCGCCGCCGCCGCCGCCGCCACCGCTCCGCCCGCAGGCTGCGGCTAGAGGGCCCAAACCCCGCCCGAGAGTCGGTCCGTGAGTCCCGGGCTCCGCGGGGAAGGGGAGGGGATTTACCCGTCACCTACCCCGCCCTAGCTGCCTCGATTCCATCCCCTGCCCCTCGGGAAACAAACTAACAACCCCACCCTAAACAATCCAAACTTTGGAAACATGGTCTGTTTAACGTGAGAGAGCGCTAATCCGGGAACTTAATTTTTTTGGGGGGGAGGGTGGGTGGGCTTACTTCAGAAGTAATATTAACACGATTATTTTCTTTTTTTCCCACTGATCCTTCCCATTTTCCCTCTCCCGCCTACTCCACCCGGGCGGGAATTGTTTCCACGATGAAATGAGTGAAAACCTGAGTGATCCTGTGTCTCCCGTGGTGCGAGTGAGTCGCTGCCGCTGAAGGCAAGGGGTGGGGGTGGGACCTGGGGTGTGGAAGGCAGGTGGTCTCCGGGCACCGCCTGGGGTTTGGGAGAAGCACCCGCCACCTTTGCCTCAGCAATGCTCAGCAGAAGATAATTCGCACTCACCACCATCTTGAACGGGGGCAAATCCTCAGGGACGTCTCCCTTGGGGAATGTACGACTAGTTGCAGGGCTGGGGGTGTTGGGAACCCGGGCATTAATCAGGTCTAACCACAGAGCCGGAATAATTAATACCGTATTATATACCCCTTTTCCCTCTGCTATCATGATTCTCCTTGGCAGCCGCGTTAGCAGCCGCCTGAGGGTGAAAATGTGGGTGACGGGGAAGTTGGTAACGACTCCGCTGTTTTTTCTCATGGCTCTTTTGGGCAGCAGCTGCCCGCCCCCGGTATACACTGTAGTTGATTGCAGGGAAACCCTGTACCTCTCCCTTTCCTTCTCTACCGGTTTTGCACTTTCCTCTATGCGCACCACCAAGTGTAATCAATAACAAGCACTGACAATACATAGCAATAGTGAAATCTGAAATAACTAAGAATTAATTAGGTACTACAGCCATGGAGCTGGCTGGGTGAAATCTAATTGGATATTTCAGTTTCATTCACCTACCCTGTTTTGGTGTTTTGTTTGGTTTTGGTTTTGGTGGTTTTTCCTTTTTTTCCTTTGGAAAGCAAGGATCACAGTTCCCCCTCCCTGTTCCTTTTCTTAATCCCTTTTCTAAAAAGGGGGGGAAATCCGGATGGATTTGAGGGATTGGTCTGGTGTCAGCTGTGTTTTATTGCACACCTAAATCCTGATTATAGGCTTTTCATTTCTCCAGAAAGCCTTTATTTTGGCAGTTAAGCCAAATGTGTTTTCCAGAAAGTTAGTTCAAGTATTTTCTCCTCTTTCTTTCCTTTTTCCCCTCCCTTTTTCCCGGCTAACCCCAAGCGTTATTGTCCAAACATGACTGGACAGCAGCTTTTGTTTCTTGACCCTGTAATATGACAGTCTGCTAATATTGCCAGAAGGTGCAGTTTTTGGGTTACAGTCCTGATTTTCGCTATTCAGTCATATTAGCAGGAAAAAAAAAATGACTTGTTTCTGTTGTACTTGAGTCTTAAGAAAAAGTGCCCATAGTTTAGTGACAATTTCCAAAGGCTTTAGTACCACCTCTATTTCAAAATGGGGGACCCAAACTCCCGGAAGAAACAAGCTCTGAACAGACTACGTGCTCAGCTTAGAAAGAAAAAAGAATCTCTAGCTGACCAGTTTGACTTCAAGATGTATATTGCCTTTGTATTCAAAGAGAAGGTAATTTAAAGTTTTTAATAGTGAATTAGCACAAGTGATTTTTGTAAGTGTATATTATATGTTACTCTTAAATTATTAATATTAAGTTAAAGAGTGGTTGAAAAAAGTCTGTTTTGTATGCTGTTTTTCACCCTTGGGGTGATTCTTCGAATTGAGCAGTTGCAGCATAACTGAACAAAAAGATCCTTGAGCGTTCATTGGTTTGGAAATACTTGAGTCTGAAACTTAGTACTAGTATACACTTCAAGTTGACATGGGGTGGGCAGCATTTTAAAATTTTATGTGGAGTTAACATAGGAAACCTTATGATGTAATTTAAAGGTTACCTAATGTAGAGTATAAATAAGATGCTTGAAAGTTTTAAATTGTATTCAAATTTTATATGCTAAAGTTAGCCTGTTTCTTAAACTTCATAATGTAGGTAACCTCTTCTCATATACATTTAATGAAGTAGAATACATCTTGACTTTGAGGAGCAATTAAATACTGAAATGGTTAATTTGTGTTGGAAGTGTGATTTTTTTTTGTTGTTATTTCTTTTCTACTTCAAGTTCATTTTGACTTGTATAGAACTGCAGTTTTTAAAAATTCAAAATGACTTAGAAGTAGTTTCATTTTGGGGGGCAGTGGAGGTCTTAATTAGGATTAGTTCCACAGTTAAATAAACACTGAGTTGTGAGTAGTGAAGGATGGAATGATAAAAACAGTATTTTTTGTGACTTAAAAGGAATGTTTTTAAAAATTACCAACAAGGCTTATTTGATCTGAGATGAGGTTATACATATAAGGAAATACTACTTGGATTTTGGTGCTTAAATTGTGAGCTAATTTGAGATGAGAAATAAAATCTTAGCATGGTATCTATTTAGTATTTGGAAGTTTTCCAGATTTTTCTCTGTTAACTCTTTTATTTACTTATTTTTGTAGTTGCGATGGGCCTCACTACGTTGCCCAGGCTGGTCTTGAACTCCAGGGCTTAAGTGATCCTCCCGCCATGGCCTTCTAAAGTGCTGAGATTACAGGCAGGAGCCGCATGCATGGCCCCAACTCTTAACTCTTAAAGGTTATTTGTATTTGAGAGCATTCTTAGCTGCTGAAGTATAGCATTGTAAAGTGATTTTGAAGTACTTTTTGAAGTGACTTTCCCAAGATTGGGTAGTATCAAGGATTTACACCCCCACTTTTTTGTTTTGTTTTGTTCTGTTGACAAGCTAAATTGATGAGATTGAATTTTAGTTGAAGATAATATGCTGTATGCTCTTGAAATAAATCCAAGATACCAGTGGTGAGACCTGATCTTTGTATTTAATGTGTAAATTGCCCCAAATTGCACCAACTAATTTTTGAACACCCATGATAATCTGATTTTATTCTGTGAATGGGCAGTGTCCTTGCAGTTGCTCTCAGTAGTTCATGATATATACCTAATAGTACAGAATTTTTAAAGGTAGGTTTGTGACTAGTACTTGGTCTTGACTGTTAAAAGAGAACTTTTTTTTTTTTTTTTTTTTAGTGTTTTAAATATTGATGGTTTTGGCTGGGTGAGGTGGCTCACGCCTGTTATGCCAGCACTTTGGGAGGCTAGTGCAGGCAGATCACTTAAGATCAGGAGTTTGAGATCAGTCTGGCCAGCATGGTGAAACCCTGTCTCTACTAAAAATACAAAAATTCCCCAGGTGTGGTGGCACAGGCCTGTAATTCCAGCTACATGGGAGGCTGAGGCAGAAGAATTCCTTGAACCCAGGAGGCAGAGGTTGCAGTGAGCCAAGATCACACCACTGCCTGGACAACACAGCGAGGCTCCATCTCAAAATCTGTATAGATATAGATGGTTTTGATTATATAGTATCCAGAAAGTAATGGAAATTGATCCATGTAAGGAATAAAACAATTCGTTTGTGTGAATAGCATTGTTTTAAAATGGGTGAGATACAATTTTAAGAAGTATGGTGTAAAATAATGCTATGGATACCATTATACTATACAACTCAAGAGTTAAAAAAACATTCTAATGACAGCTTGTACATGTATGATTGGAGGGGAAGAGTGGGGGAAGACCAGAAGAAATTACTTATCTGAAAATGTGTTTTTAGCATATAAGTTACTTCAGGCAGTTAAACATTTTGTGGAGTTAAAGTTACATGACATTGTAATACAAACCGAGTGTTAAAAGACTGCTTCTTTGTGTTAATATACCATTTTATTTTCTTGTAGAAGAAAAAGTCGGCACTTTTTGAAGTGTCTGAG